ATAGATGGTTGTGGCAAGCAGCTTACAAAGAATAAAACCACATTTTTCACATAGATACTTGCAGCAAGGTTGTGGCAAGCAGCTTACAAGGAATAAAACAACATTTTTCACATAGATACTTGCAGCAAGGTTGTGGCAAGCAGCTTACAAGGAATAAAACGACATTTTTCACATAGATACTTGCAGCAAGGTTGTGGCAAGCAGCTTACAAGGAATAAAACAACATTTTTCACATTAGATACTTGCAGCAAGGTTGTGGCAAGCAGCTTACAAAGAATAAAACGACATTTTTCACATAGATACTTGCAGCAAGGTTGTGGCAACTAGATAATAACTGTTTTTACAATTATGTGTGAAGTTTGTCATGACTATACAAAATAGTCATTCTAGAAGTTTCCTGAAGAGAACAGCAAATTAGCAGCCAAAACAGAGAATAAAAATAGATAGTAATTTTTACCTAGCTACACAGAAAAAAAATAATAATAATTAGACTAGGTGATCACATAGGCTAGTAACCAAGTAAATGAGGTCTGGATTAGACTAGCTTATCATGTAGGCTATTAACTATGACATAATTCACACATAAGTGTCAGAATAACTGTTCTGTCACTTATGTGTGAATTATGTCATAGTTAATAGCCTACATGATAAGCTAGTCTAATCACTAGTCAGTAACTGCTGACTAGTGATCAGACTAGCTTATCATGTAGGCTATTAAGTATGACATAATTCACACAAGTGTCAGAACAGTTACTGACTAGTGATTAGACTAGCTTATCATGTAGGCTATTAACTATGACATAATTCACACATAAGTGTCAGAAACACACACATCACAAAGTTTAAAGCCCACAATGAAATTTTTTTAAAGTATTTTGATATTTTACTTCCATGTCAGGAAATACTATTTTTCACAACAGAAATATGCTTTTTTTTTTCATATTCCAACAAACACATATTTTTGGTACAGTTAAAAAAAACTTGTCATAAAATTCCCATGTTTTTATCATAAATTTATGTTTTTACAACTATGTTTAGAGTTTGTCTTGGCTAATACCCTAAACCAATAGACGACCAGCTAGTTCTAATACCATACTTTCATAAACCTTTTCACACAATATTAACATTTTAAAGTGATTTTATATTACATTGTAATACAATATGCTCCAGTAGCTATATTTTAAAACACATTTTTATGGACTAGTGGTTGGGAACCACTGGCCTGTATGATCACCTAGTATACTTGCTATCTAGCAACTGTTTTTACAACTATATGTGAATTATGTCATGCTTAGTAGCCTATACAATCAGCTAGTCAAATTACTAATTAGTAACTGGATCAGTAATTTAGTGATCACAAACTGTGGGCTTTAAACTTTGTGGTGTGTGTGAGATCAGTAATTTAGTGATCACAAACTGTGGGCTTTAAACTTTGTGGTGTGTGTGTGAGGTCAGTAATTTAGTGATCGCAAACAAACACATTTTAATTGTTTTCAATTTTATGCAAATATTTTTTATAACATAACTGCAGTATACAAAATAGCTTAATGTGTTACATAACCTGAATTTTGTAACAGTTGTATTAACAAATGCACATAATTATTTTGTTTAAAGAATTTTTGAAGATATGTTTTCTCTATGACTTTTGTGTAAGAAGTGTCTTATTGAATATTAAGAAAACAACTGTCTTGTTGGTTTTATTTTGTTATGAAAATAACCAAGTTATAAGTGCAAGAGTGTAAAATGTACTCTTAGCTAGTAGAGTAAAAGTGTAAATCATAGCCTTTTAATTTCTTTAGTTTAAAAAGCACTACACATTTAATTTATGTAATGTAAGATTTATTCTGTAGTGTTATGAGTTTTTTATTAAAGAGAAGTTTAAAAAATTGCATGCTCTAGCTTTCATAGACAATTTTGAAAATGCAAATCACCAAGTCGCGTGACAACCATATCTGGTATAAAATGGTGATATAATTGTCTATATCAGAACTACAGTTTGACATTGTTCACATTTCTTAAGTAATGTGATGCCACTGAAAACTGATTGTTTTTGCACTCCAGTTATGGTAAGCAAAGTCAGTATCTTGTAAAAGGGGAGAATCTGCAAACACAAAGGTTAGTGGCCAAAGATGTCCATGCAGCGTTACACTGCATAATCAAAAAGGATCTCTGGTCTGGAAAAGTGACACAAATTTCTTCCACAGCATGTCCGTTCAACCATTGTATATGTGAAGCAACTAGAAAATGAAATGATATTAATTCTATTCCATATGTAGACATACTGGTCAAGTTGTGAGCTGCATCTATGTATCTCTGTACAATCCAACTGTTACAATGTGCTGGAAACTGTTGTTTTTATACATTAGATGGCTTATGAAAAGCATACATGAAAAAGTAGTGTGCTTTGGACATGACAGCTTTACAGTGGAGCCTTTTGCAATAGGAACTGTGCTGTAAGGCTGTTGTCAAGATGTCATCAGATAGAGCATTAGCAAATATGGCGAATGAACTGTAATGATGTGGTGAAGCTCCAAAATCATTTTAATTTAAAGTACTGACCATCTGTATAAGGATATTTATGAACAAATAGTCTGAAACCATAGATGGTTTTGGTCTGCTTAAGATTTCACTGTTTTAATGGGAACGTGTTGCATTATTAGACTGATTATTGAACCTGCTTTTCTGTTGTCCTATACTACTAAAAGTATTTGAGAAAAGTTAAAGAAATACTTGCTTGGGAGTCACACAATCTTTTTTTTTTCCTTTAAAAAGTTTTAAATGCAGAAGACAAGCTTATGTAGATTCCAAGAATATCAATTTTATTACCTTTTATCAGTATTTTTAAGTGTAATTTATTTGCATATATGATATTTATATAAAAAATTAAACATTTCAATTGAAAGGATCAGTTGTTACTATTTCTGTAAATATCATTTCAATTTTCTTAGAAAATGTTTTTATTGTTTTCTTCTTTTTTTTCTCACATTCATTTCCAGTATTTTTAGAAAAAGTATAATTAGACTTGTGCACAAATTACCTAACTTACATTGAATAATTACCAGAGCTTGCTCACTTAGGCAAGAAAAACCTGAACAAGCAACACAAGTCACTGCCCTTTTGAAGATTTTTTATTTGTGTGTGTGGCTGTGTTTTAAAAATTTTAGTATTATGGCAACTTTTAACAGATGAAAAGAATAAAAGGAATTCTAATTTTTGTGGAATCATTATTTGTAGGATTTCTGAGAAAAAGATTCAGTGTGTATGCGAAGTATCAAAATGAAAAACAACCTTACTTGGAAAGACCTTGTGTGCCTTGTAATCATGTTATTTTCAATAAGGACACACTTAAGCATCATCAGTTAATGCATCAACCTGTATGGAAGAAATTTGTATGTTCAATCTGTTTTAAGCTTTTCAGTTGCCCTGTATATTTAAAATTGTCATGGAATTTTATACTATTTGTACATGCAGTTCAGGCACTTTTCTTTTTAGAGAAAAGCCAGATACTGTCAGTGTGTACATGTTTATTATAGTTTTAGAGAAAAGCCAGATACTGTCAGTGTGTTCATGTTTATTATATTTTTAGAGAAAAGCCAGATACTGTCAGTGTGTACATGTTTATTATAGTTTTAGAGAAAAGCCAGATACTGTCAGTGTGTACAT